AGTTGCTGGAAAGGCTGCCAAGATTTTGGCTTGAGGAACTAGAATAATGGAGTTACTGTTTACTCAGATGGTGAATATTACTAGAAGAAGTAATTTTTCATTTTTCTTAACTCTGTATTGGTTTCTGTGTATTATATAAAAGAACCACCTTCTCTAGTCTTGTTAGACTGGTCTTATGCAGCAGGTGTTTCTTCCCAGTCAGCCTGGGCAGTGTTCTGGTTCCTCAGAACTTTGTGCTTGTCCAGCCTGTCTTTGTTGTTAGTGGCCTCCAAGAAATTAGAGTCAAGTTGTACTATTGCCTTGAGAGGGGTGGTATAGAAGCCATTCCCTTGGGATATGACTAGAGGTATTGGGATGTTAGACGCATGCTTTGGTTTCTTCTTTCCTTGCAGAGAAGCTGAAAGCCAGAGTTTATCTCCCACTGATTCTGCTCTGCACCAAGGAGAGTGTCTGAGGCAGATGTCTATATTCTTGATCTAACTGCTGACTTTTAACCTGGAGGAGATAGCTGCTGAATATTTATTTGCAAGTTTAAAAGTCACCTGTTTGTTCTCAGTGGTCTAGGAGACTTAGGAGTGTAGAGCTTCATCAACTCCCAGAGCTAGGTGATTTAGCAGCCTGTCCCTCCAATGAAAGCTATAAAAGTTGGGGTTCTCGATGTGTTCAAAAACTTTTCGTGGCGAGTTTGAAGACCTGGAATTATTGCCAGAGCCTGCAGGGAAAAAGGTGCAGGAAGCCCACTCTACTTTTTGGGCCAGCAGGTCTCATGCCTCCCTAGCAGGGGGAGACTTCTGATCTGAAGCTATTACTGAAGCAAGCCAGGAGGAAGGCACAGGGAGTGCTGACTTTCCTTTTCAGGAATGGGGAGGTCACCCACCTCCTTCCACCGGGAGATTATAGGAATTTATCTCTAGAGCACATGGAGGCAGAAGGCCTGAGAAGTGCTGTCCCTTCCATTCGTGCTGGCAGAGATTTCAGGGCTGGGATTATGTCTGGAGCAAGCCAGGGAAGGAGGTGCAGAGAGTGCTCACTCTCCTGTTCAAGCAAGAAGTCTCACATGCACCTTGCAGGGGTAACCTTTTGGTCTGGAGTTCCCTGAAGCAAGTCAGGGAAGAAGACACAGGGAATGTCCCCTTCTCTTTCTAGTCATGGAGAGGGCCCCTTGCCTCCTCCTAATGAGAGGTTGCAAGCCAGGGAAGAAAGCACAGAGAGTGCTGTTCCTCCTGTTCTTGCTGGCAGAGGCCTCCAGTCTCTTTCCAAGGAGAGAGTGTATGACTAGGATTAGCACCTGAAGTAAGCCAGGGGAGAAGAAGGCACATAGAGTGCTGTCCCTTCCGTTTAGGCTCAAGGAGGTTTAATTCTTTATTTGCTACCTAGGTTCCCGGATAATGGCTTGTTAGAGGCCAGAGCCTCAGGGAGTTGCTGGAACAGCTGCCAATATTTTGGCCTGAGGAACTAGAATAATGGAGTTGCTGTTTACTCAGATGGTGAGAATTACTAGAAGGAGGGAGTACAGTTTTGGATATGTTAATTTTGAGGTACCTATGAATGCCCTATCCAGGAAGAGATAATCAAGGAAGCAGGTGGATATACAGGCCAGAAGCTCGAGGGAGGTGTCCAGGCTGAGAACTTGCAGTCCCCAAATGTGCCATGCTGTTTTAAGGTTCTTTGTTTATGCACATCCTGCCCCGCTGCCTATAAATCTCCCTCAAACACTTCTAGTCATACCCATGTTACATATTACCAAAAGTCAGAGTTGATCACCCTCTCCTCTATGTTGCCAGTCTCTACCTATTTTTACCTTCTTCTCTGTAATATAGATATTGTTTACTTAACCATATTAATTTAGTGTCTAGTATGTATTATACCACTGTTCTAAGCACAAAGGATAAGACAATGCAAAATTCTGATACTTATGATGGTAGGAGGTGCAGACAATAAATAAGCGGATAACATTCAGGTAGTGGTAAGTGCCATAAAAGAATATAAAACAGTACGTTGGGATAGAGGTTGCATACTGAGCGCTACTTCAGCAAGCCTGGCCAGGAATGGTCTCTCTGCTGAGGTGTGACATGTGAGAGAGACTTGAATGAGGTGAAAGAGTGAGCCGTCATAAGATCTGGAGGAACAATAATACAGGCAGAGAGGACAGCAAATATAAAGACCTTGAGGCCAGGCATTGTGGCTCACACCTATAATCTCAACACTTTGGGAGTCTGAGGTGGGTGGATGACTTGAGCCCAGGAATTCCAGCCCAACCTGGGAAACATAGTGATACCTCGGCTCTACTTAAAAAAAAAAAAAAAAATTAGCCAGGCATGGTGATACATCTGTGGTCCCAGCTGCTTGGAAGGTTGAGGTACGAAGATCGCTTGAGCCCAGGAGTTTGAGGCTGCAGTGAGCCAGGTTTGTGCCACTGCACTCCAGCCTGAGTGACAGAGCAAGACGCTGTCTCAAAAAAGAAAAAAAAAAAAGATAAAGACCGGCCAGGCACAGTGGCTCACACCTGTAATTCCAGCACTTTGGGAGGCCAAGGCGGGCAGATCACCTGAGGTCGGGAGTTCGAAACCAGCCTGGCCAATGTGGCGAAACCCTGTCTCTACTAAAAATACAAAAATTAGCCAGGCGCGGTGGTGGGCACCTGTAATTCCAGCTACTTGGGAGGCTGAGGCAGGAGAATTTCTTGAACCCAAGAGGCAGAGGTTGCAGTGAGCCGAGATCACACTATTGCACTCCAGCCTGGGTGACAGAGCAAGACTCTG